AATTATTGAAAGTGGGTCAAACTTTAAGGTCAAGGTTTATGGTCAAAATTAATTGTACCAAAGGAGAGGTTTGTCATGACTCATAAGACGTGAAATATTTAACCCCTATCGTAAACTCTTCTTCAAAAATTATGGCCCAGGTTAATTTTTTTTAACAGTAAGTTGACCACAAAGTTCAAGGTCAGAAATAAATACATCCATGGAAAATCCTTGTCACAAGGAATAAATCTGTGAAAATAAGAAGGCCCAAGATCTAACAGTTCTAAAATTATCGCCAAGGTTAAAGTTTTTTTTAAAAGATGGTTAAACTCTAGGGTTAAAAGGTTAAAAAATATATCCTGGAATGGTCTTGTCACAATAAACACATATAAAGTATGTAAGTCCTATCACCAAATGTTCAAAAGTTATGACCAAGGTTATAGTTTTGTATTTTTGTCAAAAGTGCCCAGACTCCAAGGTCAAAAGGTCAAATATATTGATACCCGAAGAAAAGTCTTGTCACAAACAATACACATGTGAAATATGAAAGCCATAGCTCTAACCAATTAAAAGTAATGGGTAAGGTTAAAAGTTTTTGCGGACAAACAGACAGCCAGCTAGGCAGACGGACGGACAAGGCATAGAGTGGACCCTAGGGTGAAAATGAATTCCAAATTTTATTACACATCAGCAGGACACAACCAATCTTAAAAAATGGGTAAGTTACTGCAAAAATGTAAGAGGATTTCAGAGAAACCTGATTTCTTAGTAGAAAAACGTCTTTTTTTGACACCCTTTCCATTGTTCCATGTTCTCCGAAACGTTTTACACAGCTTAGGACACTTTCATTCATGTTGCAAAAACTGTGCGGGCTACTGCAAAAAATGTAAGAGGAGATCAGAGAGGCAGGTTTAACTTTGATAGAAAAACACAGTTTTATTCCCGCCCCTCTGGGTGAAAATTAGAATTTCAGAAATCTTTTTGCACATGTTCTTGGCAGCGCCGGTCATATTTCAAAAGATGAGTTGACTATATTGCACAAAATATAGTAGTTGTAGGCAAAATATGATGTAATAGATAGATGGGCGGACATCAACAATATACTTAGTATTTGAGCGTTCTTTAGAAAATGCGGATACCGGTATAAAAATGTTTGGACGAATGGAGTAAAAAACTGCATTGTTATATTTTCTTTATTTAGTAGTAATAAAAGGTAAAATTGAGCAGCAATCGATCTACAAAAAAAATTCTCAAAAAATATAAATCTGTAAACGGGATACTAAACACAGACACCCAGAAATTTCAGAGTGGGATCATGTGCCTTTAAAGAGTAAGCATCCCGTTTTGACTAGTCTTATCCGCCTTTGATGTTTTGAATCAGGTAGACATAACATTCCGCAGTAAAATTTAGTAAAAAGAGAAAGGGCTTAACAGTATTGGTATGAAGAACGTCAGCCAAAATTCGATCCAGTGATAGGGACTAATAAAGAGCAAGATGTCCTTCAGAAACCTCAATAGAATTAACTAGGTATTCTTAGGTTTAGAATAAGATATTTTAAAATGCTGCGTCATTCTCGTATCTCCCACACCGCTATACGTTATGTTACCTGAGGAGTCAAAAGTCCCGGAATAACATACAAATATGTCAGCAAATCGTGGCAATTATTTCTCTAGGGAGTCGTACTTTTTAACCTTCCAATCATTTACTTCCAATGTCAGCTGAAGAGGGCAACACTTTTACTCAGCAGTGATAAAAGGGAGCTGACAGTCTTTTTTAATACTATAATAGGCAGTTAATGAATCTTGGGCCTAATTTCAAAAAGCAAAACATGTCGAAGATTGATAAATGTAGTCATTTAGGCCGGGGGTGAACAATTTTCTTTGGTACTATTTTTTTTTCTGTATTTATCGGCATAATCTGTACAAAAAGACACAATACCATGATCACAAGTTAATATGCGATTCTAGAATTAGAGAAAGGTTTACAAGAGGTCTTATCTTTAGGACAGAATCGGGATAGCTTCATTGTTTCACATTTGTGAAGTGGCATGTTTTAAATTTCCACAGGATTTAGAATGAACAGTACACAATTTCATATTGTAAAGGGATTTGTTGCAAAAAAATATTTAAAAATATTTCTGTATTGATACGTGGCATTGTACAAATGTGTAAATTGTTCTTAAAAAATGCATTTAAATATGTTTGCAGACAATATCTGATCATGTCATATAATAGCTTTTATTCATGTAGAAACTATATATAGAAGTCTTACATGGTTTTTCCTCACTTTCTCTATTCACTTTAACAAAAAATGAATCTTCTAGGATTTATTTTCTAATTCCTTCAAACAAATCTGATCTATTTTTGTCAGTTCGCTTGTTCCTTAGCCCTTTTAAACTCTGGCTTTTATTATAGACCATGTTAACATCAGATGAAAGTAGTCGGCATTCAAGGGCGGCGTCGTTGATCGGGGGCCAGCAACATTCCTGTGTCGCGCTGTCCTCCAGCTCCAGTTGACAAGAGCAATCAATGCAGAAACCACTGAACAAATGGCCTAATCTCTAGTTATATTTAGTTTTCTTACCGTTCCGATAACCCGCATTAGTAATATTGCAGCAACCAGAGTACACATGTGGAATGACTGTTGTACTGAGCGCTTAGGTATGATCTTCGATTACACGGCCCTAAAGGCCTGCGTCTTAAAGTGACCAGACTGACTCACCAAAGTTATCTGAAGTCAGTTCTTGTACTTTGTGGGGCTTCAGAAGCGAAAATCTATTAGAATGGTAACAATTGATGAAAGAAGGATTTGCAGACTCCCTTGTTATTATATTTACTGCAGTAGTACTGTATATAATGGAGACCCTTTCTATTTTCTATTCAAACAAGAACCACTCCTCAGCAATTTTGGAGTTACTAATATATATTCCCGTCTTTGCGTACTTGTTCTTCATTGTTAAAATATCCTCATGGTATACCTATCAGTTAAAGATCGTGAAGGAAGAGACTCTCAGACAACTGCTTAATATGGTTTTATGTCAACTTCTATCTATTCTAATCGATTTAATGCAAGATAAATAAATTTTGTCAAAGATCACAACCTCACGTACTTGGAAACCTCTTTTCTCTTTTTTAAATCGTTTAGAATTGAAGACAGTTTTAAAATCTTTGAAAAAGAAGAGAATTACTCTATAGGGAAAAAAACACTCTTGCCCTAAGATTTAAATTTCATTTATATGACAAATGCACCACACCAAAGATTATATGGGTTGTACTGTTTGTGTCTGATGTCATTTTGAGTATTGATATATCACCAAACACTTGAGTACACCTAGTTGACCAAACATGACTGATTCCTAAAGATGGCAACGCAGAGAGTCGACCATGGCCGCTCATTTGTTCGCCACTGGCAGCTTCAAGTGCAATTTTATTCCAGAAAGAGAAAGATGACTAAGAATTTAAATAAACTCTCAAGATTGTGTTTTGAATACTTTGGCCCCCTTTTAGTATACAATCTTATTCATATCAATTATTTCTCAACGGGTAATGATAGCATATCACATTTAAAATTTCTACAACAAAATTTAGTTCAAAAGTCGTCCATATTGATCCTATTCAATTCTTTTGATTGCGTCGTTTTCGTGGTGAGTGTGCTATAGGACCTGCTATTAGCGAGTCTCCTTCTATTCAGATAGACTTTAATATTTTTTTGTCAATTCAACATCTTATCTTCTGGAAACCATTTCAGTTAGTGCGATAACGGCAATGAACTAAAAAAAAAAGTTCGTCTTTTAAATCGATACAATCGAATCTGTTTGAAAAGTCGACCAGGTTGAATAAACTTCATGATTTTTCTATCACGGAATTTGTTGAATGTCTTTATTAATAAATCAAAAGATCGGTCCCCAAAAGAGATTGATTACCAAAATATTGGTTAAGTAAAAGCAAGATTTGAATACGCCTAAATTTCGTACACCCGGAAAATGTTAGACGTCTCCTTTGCTAAATAGTTTGAACTATTAAAACTTTTGTTAATGTTATTCTTTGATTGTTCAAAAGGTGTCCATAATTTAGAACAAGAAATTTAAAAGAAAAAAGAATATGTTTCTGCAAAAACGCTTTTCATTTTTTTAATTCAAAAACAAATTTTAAATAGATTTAGAAGAATACGGAAACTTGTTATCTTCAATTGTCACTTTCAATACATGTGCAGTACTAATGATGTCAAGAACTCGTTCTGTGCTCAGTAAATCAGGTTCTTGTTTTTTTTTTCTCCAGGTTTTTGGCTTCGTATCTCGTATGTGCGCCATAGCAAAAAAGTTTTTTCGTAACTTAGTCTTTTAGCAGGGCCGTAGAAATACTGAGACTTTTGTACATATTTAACCATTTTATTGAATTTCATAACAGGGTGTGATTGATGTCGACATGGAGATAGAGAAAATAAATCAAAAACTCGGGAAGCTCGGGAAAAAGATGGATCAACTGAAAAAATCTTCAGAAAAGGCGTCCAAAATGACGTCACAGAAACAACAGAAACTTCAGATAGAGGTAAAACACAGTACAAAACCCAACAGATTAAAATCATATCTACGTAAATTTTATACTAATATCTGTTAATATCCAGTTTTATTTTTCATAATCTCATCCTGACGTAAAAATTCAAAAATGAAGTACATATCACAGATACAAAAACTTCATTACAAATAAAATTCTGACCAAATCGAAATTTTTATCGTCAAAATGCAAATTTAAGCTTCCAATTATTCTAGATTATACTGAAAACCTAGTTTATAGTTGACTACAATAAATATTTGTTAATTAGATACTGGAGACGGAAGAAATGATAGGACGACTAAGAGAGAGCATAGGGGAGTTGGAGACCATGCGTAATAAAAATAACGACTAGAAATGACGCCACAAGATGGTTGGCAATGTAACAAAAGGCACGTGTTCTGATGAAAAACTAAATTCTGATTCATGGAAAATGGCGTTTGATTAGCATCGTCACGTAACACAAGTCTTTATCCATAAACATTTTCAACAGTGAATTTGCTTTCCAGTTTTTGTGCTAGCTCAACTTTATTTAGCTTCCGAAGTCCCTTTATAAGCTGAACAATGTCGCCATGTCTGTTAAAAGAGCGCCACTTTTCCAAAGAACGAAGTGCCGATTCTTCGGGAGTTCTGTCTTGGCGGGCCGAAATAGTGTCGATGACTTCCACATCCTTTTGTCGCCTGTCGGGGTCACGTGGGGGCTGGAATGGCAGACGATCGTAGAGCTTCTTCCAATCTCGTCCAATGTGAAAGGCAACATATCGACAGGCGTCATCCATTTGAACTAGAAAAAAACGACACGTTAGCTCACAGATTCTAAAGAGTATAGAACAATTTTATAGTCTGGAATAATTTATTGATAAAAATCGATTGCAGGAAACGTTTGAACAGCAATTAAAATTGTGTTAACAAATAATTTTTGCCCAATGATTGATTTTATAAAAAGTATTCAAAAAGATATCGTGTTGTTGAGATCACACAATGTCAACAGATGAATCTTTTCAGTTCAATATTGTCAATCGAATCAATGAATATCAATTTTAAAATGTCAGTCATTATCAAGAAAAATCAGCACGTATTTGACCGTTGGCTGAAGAGCTGGGGGTGATAGCCCCCTCTGTTGACTTGACCCCCCGGACGGAACCTCTGATGATAGATAGGACGGAGATATCATCTGAAGTTGCTATTCATTTTAATCATTTATGTACTTTTAAAAGACTGCTGTTGAAATAATGTTATAAAAGGACAGGGACAGATTTGTATTCATTCATAATGCATAACTTTACAAAATCGTCAACGTGAATCAATGGATTAAAAAAAACCAGGGGTTTGATTTTTGCACTGTCATTACATGATTAATTGATGACGACACCTTTGTTAGTCTAAGCTTTTATTTTATGATGGCATACATGTTTGACGAATCCGATAAAACTAAAGATACTAATGAATGTGTAATATTCTAAAATAATCTCATTACTTCTTTGATATGGAGGGAAAATCAAAACTTCAAAAGCTTGAATTTTCCTTGATTTTTTTTTTAACTTTAAAACGAATTTTGTTAGTTTTGCCATTATCAATAATTATTCACGATAAAAATTCAACAGCACACAAATATTAAAGGCCAGGAGAAAAAGACAGATGAGTAGCGAAATTGTTAAAACTAGCATTATATAAAACAAAAGCTCAGTAATAAGTGCTGGTAAATTCCATTTACATAAAAGCAAGACAAAGACCTAGTACCTAAGTGTGCATGCATCACAGGTGATGGCGACTTCTCTACAAAGATAATAAGATAGCAAAGTCAAAGGAAAGAAGCATTCCATTGCTAATATATCAGGGGCTTTTCCCTTAGATGTTCATTATTGAAAACCGTAATTTTTTGTTTTCAATAGTTTTCGCATTTATAAGTAAGATATTTATGGAAGCATTTTAAACATATGGCAAATGAAAGAACTGATTCTATAATAAGGAGTGACAAGGAAAAGCAGAAGAATTTTTACAGAGTGAAACACATTATTAAAGTTAAACAATTTCCTGTAAATATTTATTCAAATTAAATGGCTCTAATGTCTTTCTTGGTCTTTTCAGGCGGCGGTTCGTAAAGTTGAAGTATCTTTGTTGTTGGGAGAACTTAACCCCCCTGTGAATGATACTGACGCGGGCTGAAATTTTCATTTATAAAACTTTCTATCCATATTTTAAAGGAAAACAACTTGCTGACACTTGCCTGGGACTGTTTACATGGCCCGAATTGGACCGTGCTGTGTATTGACAAAGTCGTTAACACAGCTTAAAGACTAGTGTCTTCGTGTTTCGCAGGGCATGTGACAAAAGTTAAATTGGATCAATATGTCATTTTGAGTGCACTTAAATATAAAAGATTGTCCCTTTCTACCTGTTTTGTTTTTAAAAGAGCAGCCACTTTAAACAAGTAGTCCGGGGTTTGTATTCCTAGACGAGCGGTAGAGAACATGCGCCTATAGGCCATTTTTATTTCTGAATGAGAATATTGAATAATTTTTGTTTAGAATATACTAAATAAAGATCATGTGTATAGGTAACAAACGTGAGGAATAAGTCTTGTGCAAATATGCCATTTCTTCGTAAAATAAACAGAAATGTTTTGACTTGTCGAATTCAGTTTGCAAGTCGGACCTAAATTAAATATTAAAAATTAGATCTCCGTTTTTGCCGAAGGTCGGGACACTATATAAAGCTTAGTGGTTTTTATTGAAACATTTAAAGGTACTTTGAGAATACAGGTCACTATGTTAAACTATTCATCATTCATTTAATCGGATCAGAATTCTCCTTAAATAATCATAACCAATAATACCCCACTTAGCTGGTCCAGAATTTAGGTACAAGAACCAGTTTCTCTCTGGTGACATTTTTCCGTAAATGAAGAATTTCATTCCAAGAATGCTTCAAACCTTTATCTAATACAGGCACTTAAAAACAAAGCTCTTCTAACTGTTTAAATAATAAATATAAACTGGGGGGGTACCTGTGAAGTGCGAAACGAAATAGAAACGAAACGAAACGAAACGAACTGAAACGAAACGAAATCTGCCGAAACGAAACGAAACTTACCGAAACGAAACGAAACCTACCGAAACGAAACGAAACAAAGACGAAACGAAACGAAATCAAAACGAAACCTGCCGAAACGAAACAAAACTATCAAAATGTTTTTTTCTCCCCAAATCAAGGTTCATGTATATATGTGTAACTGCATGTGGACTTTTTTGTACTTCAAATAAAATTTATATAGTTCAAGCACTTGTTAATATAAAATTTAATTACCGATGAATTATGTTCCCTTTTCAATCTAATGATTTATTTACATGTTTGCTAGCTGCAAATATGCACGAGCGTACTATGCATGTATAATTTCAATATGTGCAGTATTTTCTAATTTTTATATCTTAGTCCTTATTTATCTAGATACAATATATCTATCAAAATTGATGTGTTACATGTAAAGGCTCGTTTATGTACAGATCGAAATGAAGTCACTGTACTGCTGTATTGCGAATGTTTTAAAACATAAAATAAACCAGAGACTTAGAGTATTTGGTATTCCATTCCGAGGTGTCTGGTTTTATCGTTCAATTATACATGCAACTCCAATCCTTTCAATGTACATACGGTCCTGTTTTTATCGAGGTAATTTTCGAGGAAGAAATGAGTGGTTTGCAATTAGAAAGGCTGGACCAGAGAGGTCTAAAACGATTTAATTGACCAGAAAAAAGTCTCTCGAAGCGAACGATGTCATTTTAAGTAGGTAAATTATTCAGTATTCAGTAAGATATTAACAAAATATGACATAGGCGTCGGAAGCGGGGGGGGGGGGGGGGGTCCCCCACCAACTTCTTTTGCAAAGATATATATTATTTAGGCATTGAAAATTAGGGCATACCTTTTTTGTTGGTAAAGCCCCCCCCCCCACCTTCAATTTCCTTCTGACGCCTATGTATGAGCTTGAAGCGAAACAATTACCTGTGGTGCTTCAACTATATAAATTTCATATGAAGTAAAAACAGACGATATGCAGTTACACATTATATATAACTATATGTAAATGTATATAGCTTGATTTAAAAAACATTCTGAAAGTTTTGTTTCGTTTCGGCAGGTTTCGTTTTGATTTCGTTTCGTTTCGTCTTGATTTCGTTTCGTTTCGGTAGGTTTCGTTTCGTTTCGGTAGGTTTCGTTTCGTTTCGGCAGATTTCGTTTCGTTTCGTTTCTATTTCGTTTCGCACTTTACAGGTACCCAAACTGGGGGCAAGTTAAGAGAATCTGTATCATGCAGATGAACTCTGATATAAAATAGTCTAACTCACTGTTGTTATACAAAGAAACTTCTATCAATAAAGAGAGGATATCAAAAGGTTTATAGTTATTTACCTTTCTGCCTTCTAGCTTAAATAATTTGGATAAATATTATTATATTTTTTATTTTGTTTATCTATTACTTTTTACAATTATTTTTTTTTTGTTATTTATCGCACAATTTCTTAAAATTCTCAAATTATCTCTTCTTCGAAGACGTATGTCATTCCTACAAAATATCCAGTTTGTTTGTTGTTACGTAAAAAAGACGTTGTTGCATCTTATCTTTTCTAGGAAAAAATCACATGAAAGGATAAAACAAGTAAAATAAAATGTGGATGTAGCTCTATTAAGAAATTTAAGAAATCTAGGACATTTTATTCCTGTGTGAATATTTACCTTTTGTGGTGACTTCTTGTTTCCTAGTGTTAATCCTTCTTAATGTATCGGGAGATAATTTCAGTTCTCTCACTCTTTTCAAAATTTCTTGTTTTTCATCAATGCTGTTCAGACGGTCTAAGATGGATTTCATTTCAATCTCAGTACCCACAATTCCCTGTTTTATCTCTTCTTGTTCGTGTCGTTTGGTAACAATTTCCACCTTTAGTTCGTAAGTTCTATCTGAGATTTTTTTGAGTTCCCTGTCTAACCGCCCGTGTTGTCTTTCCATCACACTCTTCCGCTCCTCGAGACGATCTAGATCCGCCTCCGCTTTCTCTAACGACCGCCGTAATTCCTGACGATCTCTAGGGGCGATTGGTGTTTTGTCCGCCACTGCCTCTCTCAGATCATTAATTTCCGTGTTTTTATTTTCAATTTGTTTTTCCAATCTCTCTATTTTTAAGTTCACAGTCTCTAAGCTGTTTTTAAGTTTGTGTTTTTCTTTTTTATGGTATGCATGATCTCTCATTATTGAATAGTTAACTTTTTGTTTTTTGTCTAAATTTTTTGTGGCGACTTGTTTTTCTTCTTCCAACTTCCGGATGTTTTCGACTAGACTTTCTTTGTATGAATTATTGAAAAAGACCTCTTGTAATAAACGATCGGGATAAGACGCATCGTCCGCGATCCATTTCTTTATGGCGTGAGCGATTTCAATATTCAGAACACATATTTCTTCCATTAATGCTGCGTGGATGTTGCCCTTGGATATAAAGTCATAAAATGGTGATTTCATTTCACCGTACTTTAATATATTGTTATTCAAAGAAGCAATTTTTTGGTCTATATCCTTTTTGCTTGCTACTATCCATTCCTCGTATTCGGTTATAGGTCGAATTTCTACTTCGTCGTAGGTTTCTTCTATAAAACTCCGACAATATTTGTATAAATGGTCCCTTGCACATTCCACAAGATTTTCCCGAATATTTGGAATCAGTTTTTCAAAAGTCCTTGCTCTCTCACAAATAAACACTAAATTCTTGTAATCCTGCTTCTTTCTGATGCCTTCTTCCACTTGTTTTATTTTGTGTTTTTCCCAGAATTCCTTGGAGGTAGAGAACTGAGAAGCAGACATTTTCCAGCTTGTTAGAAGCTCATCCAAGCAAGCTGCACAGCTTTCATAATTTAATTCTACTGCGTTCAGATATTTTTTGGCAAATTTTCGAATTTCCAGACAAACATCGTTCACAACATCTATCATAATTTTGTATTCGGCCTCTCGTGTCGGAGGCGGACGAGTGTTTCGTTTCTTGTTCCGTGAATGTGTCGGCATTTTTTCCTTGTCATTTACCTTTCAGTGAACATTGCAAATCGAACGATGATAGGTACATCCACGCTTTTTCCTGGAATCTTCCTCATTTAGTTTCAGCATCGCCGTAATCTCTTCCTATCCCTCTTCCTATAAATAGAAATAAGTCAGTGCCTTAACGCAGCAACATCATCATCCCTGGATCATTTCTTTAACAATTAAGTGACAATATTTTCCCGCAGCCTTCTTAATATTCCATGCAATCCGTTTTATTAGTGTGACAACAACACATTTAATACTTAACATTGACATTGCAAGGATGTTCCAATCTTCCGGATGATAGTTATTGATTTGTTTGGAATAAAAATCGGAGAAACAGATACGTTTGACAGTTCTGTACATAACACCAAGCGAGTTACAAATATTTGAATCATAATACGATTTAGAGGCAAGCCCAAGTAATTAATTAAAAAGTATAAGGATTTAAAAAAAAAAACAGTCTCCTTGATATCAATTTGAAGGGCAAATTCTTTGGATTTCGTTAAAATTCTATATGTATTTCCAGTTTACTGACAAATTCCTGAAAATTCTGCTGAAATCAATTACTTGATGTAAAACTATGTCTTAGCACTGACCGATGCGACTCGATGTTAACTCGTACCATATCGAAAGACCGACTCCCCACAATTCATACCAGATCGAAAAACCGACTCCCCACAATTCATCCCAGATCGAAGGATCGACTCCCTAATAAGCTGTTTCACAAGTGGGGCTATTCCTACGTCAACATATTGGCGTCGACTACGACAAAAATGCAACAAGACTATGAGTAAAGCTACAGCGGTTAAACAAAGAGCAGTCCTAATTAGTAAAAATCTGAATCGACTGGTCTTATATGATGTCCATTCATTAGGGGTTTCATTTTGGAGTAAATGTATGTTAAGTATCTTTAAAGATACACGAAGATGTTTGAATTGTTCCTTGAACATTATGTCGATATATTGATGTTTTGGGAAGAAATTATTAATGTTCTTGTATTCAATATTTAACCTCGTGTTCATTGTTCAGAAATTTAGGTCCACAACAATCAAAACATTGATTTTGATGTGGGAGAAAGACCGATATTTAAAAAAATATATAATTCATTTGTTCCAGTAATAGAAAGTCTTAGGGAAAAAATGTTTTCCTCGTAAATTCAATGATTTTTATTTGAATTATAATTTACAACACAATCAAATCGAATTATAAAATTGTTAAGTTATGAATAAATTTTCTTACCTGCATTGTTATTTTAAAAAAATCACTTTAAATGTTTAGAGTTCTTGTAAGATGCTAACCTTATGGCGTTTACTATGCCACTGATATTATTTTAATATTGAAATCATTCGCGCATTAAATTATCGTGAACATTTAAAGGACAAGGGTTGCTACTAAATTACATTAATGCCGATCGAGCTTTCCAGGTTTTTTTTTATTCACGTCGGAGAGTTTACCTATTCAAACTTTCTTGTATGGGTTTTTACTTATGTATATATACATGTATATATATTTATATATCGACCTTGAAAATTTAAGGAATCGATATTGACATTGAAATTCTCTTGGCGAACAATATTGAAAAAGACCAAGTACATGCAGGTGTTAGGGACTTAAATACTCTCAAGTGGAACTTGCTGAAAGGAAAAAATTGTCATTATTACATAAGTATTGTGTGTATCGAAATGGAGGAATATGCATTGCACCCTGGTCCATTTTTTTAAAGGGTTAAATAGATTGCATTGGCAGGAATGTTTTATTTGTAAAATTTAGGGCGTGTAAGGTTGAACTATTCCAAGAAGCTCTAACGAAGTAGAGAGATATTTGGCCGACCTAACCCCCCCCCCCTTTTTTTTTAAAACTCCATGTAAACTCCAGAACCAAAAGACTGATGTTACGATCGTTTGAACATGAAAAATACATTTAGATTAATATTTTAAACAGAATATTATAAGTATATATACGTGTAAGTAATGGCCAGAACGTGTAAGTTAAATAAACAAGGGAATTATAAGGTATCATCCTATCCTTGGGGTCCAAGACCGCATGTAAACTCGCCGATGGGGGGGGGGGGGGGGGGGGGGGGGGCAGTTTATTGTCTCAAATCTTTCACTTTTCATACCAGGATCATGATCAGTTCCCTACAAATAGTTCGACAATAATTATGATAGAATATTAAATATTTTAACTTATGAAAAACATCATTTACTTTGATCTGTGTGTTGTATGTGAAAAAAACATTTTCTTGAATTTGATATTAGAATGGTGGAGGAAAACATTGTCAGTAAAGCCATAGTTGTCCCCGATCAACCTATCAACTCGAACTTTAGATATTTTATTTCCCTTTCTCAGTATGAACATAGAAGTTGACCAGACAACACGTGTAACGATTGCTGTTAATCCGCGAACAAGAGCTGCACTTGATAAAGATGTCACCCGGTGCGCGGCAAGCGAAAAAGAAAAGAAGTAATCGAAATAATATTGGCGCCATTAGAAAACAGATAGTTTGAACAGCTGATGAGCAAATGGATGGAATTGCAATTTCAACAATGCCTAAGCAAGGAGGTAATTGTGGAAAGTAACAGGTACAAAACGGCTGGGATTGATCGATGCTCATACAAATCACTGGTCCCAATTGATCTTTCAATGGCTACTAAGTAGGGGATTAACTCCAAATCGCTTTCCGTGTTTATCGTCCCGAGTTCTTTAACTCCGAGTGGAAAAATTAGCGGACAGAAACTATGGACTACATTTTTGGAAAGTCTTTTAAAGCATGTACAGCATTTTCTAAGTGTCTTTATTAAGAGACCCACTTTTTGGACCACGTGGGGTTAATTTGAGATCTTTCAATGGAAATGTATAGAGGAAGCAATATGTTAAACATTTTTGAAAAAGTGGTATTTTATCTTTAGAGTTGAGCACGTACAAAACATATTCTCTGTTTTTCTAATATATTATTTTAATGGCATGTATTTGCACCATTTGTCAAATATCTATTTACTTGAACAAACACTTGGGATGGTTTGAAGTGAGCTGGAATTACGAGCTATATTATATTTGTTTGAGGTGCAAAATGACTTTGCTGGCAATATATTGATATGAGTAAAGATATTAACATAACTGCATGCTCGATATTGAACTACAATGCATAACGCTTTGTGAAGTAGAAAAGTAATGGAATAAAAAAAAAAGTATATATCTGTTATACTTAGATTGGCGTTTCATATATAATCGATCAAGTTGAGTTTTTTTTTTTTGTAGGAGGGAGATTGTTCAACTTCCATTTAAAGAGATCTTTCAAACGATGATCGACATTCATTATTAAAAAGTATATAAAATGAAAGTATTCAATCAATCACATCAGATTATTTCATGAATTCTTCATTATTTTGTACTGGATTTTTCACAAATTGTGATACGGTAATTCCACACTTAACAGCATTTATAGTTGACATAGACAGAATAAATAGATTTAGAAATTCATTTCGTCAACAGGGTTATGTTTTAGCTGAATCAACAACAGCATGTAAAAGTGGCAGATTTCAAGAGTTATGGCCACTAATAAGATCTTTAACTAAGAAAATATTGCTACTGTAAACATATTAACTCACTAAACACATTAAAGGGTTTAGATATTTCCCTTTTATATACAGTGTAAAAAGAGGGTATCGTTTTTCAGTGATACGATTGTTTTTAGTATAATTCTATCATGGTTGGCAAAAAAGCAAAAATACCGTCTTGGATTTTAATTTGCTTAATTGAAAACTCTAAAAAGTACATATACACGTATATCTAACCCTACAAAATGAATACCGTATGCAAAATAGATTTACAGATATTAACATGGCATTTGCCAAATAATTCATACACACAGTTAAAACTCTTCAGACTTCTACTTTCTTACCTCGTAATTTCTGTTCCTAGCTCCAATATCGATCCTGTGATTTATTAGTTGCCAAAAAGGTTTTATGAAAAATTGTTACAACAAAGCCACAGTCCATAAAATAACAGAATTTCTGATGCTGTTAACCTAATGAATGTGTCATAATTCGTACAGTATCTTTCGCCTCTCCAAGAGAGAGTTTTGGTTGTGACCACACCGCGGTTCCAATGTTTAATTGCATGGCGAGTTACGGTATCGAATTCTGGCATAAACCTTTAAAAGTGATATCGGTTTTATATTATTCAATACAAGAAGATAAACGCCAAGCTAAGGGATTTGTCCATGTTTGGTCGGAGATATATCTTTAGATATATACGTTCGTAGAATCACGAAAATGATTTAGAAGGTGAAAGTCCGGATAGTAACTGACAAGTTTTTCTTTATTGGAAATTCTCTGTTTAATTTGTCGCTGCGTAAAGTTGGGTGGTTATCTTAATTGGGGCTTAACTACGTGGTCAATTTATTCCAATGTTTTAGTCTGATTTTAAAATTAATATTTGTTTCTTAAAAAGTGTAGATGCGGAATTCTGATTTTATTTTTTCTGCGTGTTTTCAAATTTAAATTAAATACATGCATGGATTGATTTCAAACACGTTTTCAAATAGATAGAAAAAATAATTATGTACAAAGACTGAAGTGGTCAGTATCTTTTATTAGAAATACAATGCCAAGTTTGCAAAGAGAACAATTTAAGCATGCCAAGATTGATGTAAAAATAAAAAGTTTAAAACATGTATTTATTTTGAAAAATTTGCAATGAAATACAATTGTTCATCATGTTTCTTAATGAATGACACAAAGGTGCAACCAAATGAAACATCAAAACTAATACATTGTAGTTCCATTGTAACATTTTGTTTTAATTTTTTCATTTAATTTTTTTTTATTACTGCATTAAAAAAATATATTGTAATTATGTGTTATGTCTCTCTTCATGCTTACAGAATTAAATTAATCTTGATATATCAATTTGAAATGCATTTTGAAAATAAAGAGCATCGTAATGAAGTGCACAGACAGTAAATTACAATTACGCACAGATAGATAACACACACTTGATAAGAGATATGCCTTTACAACTTCCAACACCAAACTCATTAATTTATCTTTAACTGGATGCATGTCCAGTCATTATTCCCAAGAGACAAATGAAATTACATTATCTTCTGTGCAATGTAAAAACTGTTTTTAACACTATGATAATTACACAATTTTATTATACTATATATTAAAATAAAAAATAAAGCCTGTAAAAATTTTGAAAATTCCAGGTGCACACCTTCATATGGTGAATAATAAGTGTACAAATTTTCAGTGCAATAGTTTCTGTAATAAAAATGAAAAAAATACCTGTAAAATTCAAAATAATAATCCAATCAAGATGAAAATATCAGGTGCACAACTTCATATAAGGAATAATATGTGTACAAATTTTCAGACAAATCGTTCCAATAGTTTCTGAGTAATGGTCCGGACAAAATCTATGACAGACAGACGGACAGACGGATATGAATAGAAACTTCGTTTGCGGGGGGTATAAAAATCTAAAACATGTAGTTATTTTGAAAAAGAATGGGGGTGGGGGAGGGGGGTGCTACACAAACGATTTTCTGAAACTGACGCTTAAAGAGTGTGGTCATCGTTCACATATACTATGTGCAACATACTACGTGCAATATTTATTATATTAAACTGAATGTTTTATAAAAATACATATTACAGTGAACCGTGCAATAAATTCCGCGCACTTTTTTTGGACAGACATGCAGGTTATATTCAAATGTTTCTCGAGGATTCAAGTAATTTATATGAAAGTATAATATTACAATATACTTCATCTTGCACATTACACATCTTTCAGATTCATCTAATCCCACTGAAATGCCCGAAGTATACAATGGTCAAAGTCCGTAATACCGTGCAGCCATCCACCGGAAAAGGGTGGTGTCTAAACTCCGTACTCATCAAGGTTATTCCACTATAGAAACCCTCTAAACTCATTAAATTCTTAATTCTCTCGAAAATTGTTTAGAAGATGTTTACTTTAAATAGATTTGTTTGCTAAGTAAAGTTTACAATATTGGCAATCAATATACATGTATTTCTTCTTAACCTCTTTGTCGTCATTAGTTAATTGTTTTGCGTACTGTACTTTATCATTCTGGGTTAACCATGGATGTCGTAGATTCATTTCAAAATAAACAAAAGGTTTCTTATTTATAAAGGAACACAAATGGTTCAGTGTACAGATACCGACAACAGGTGTTAGGGTCTGCAGAAAGTACGTCACTCCTTTTAGGGGAATATCTCTGTTCCGCTCACCTGAACCCTGCCTCTCACTTACACAAACCGATCATAACCAACGTTACAAGAACAGACACTGATCTATTAGGTTGGGCTGTATCTTACTTATTTTCAAAACCATGATGGCACAGACATCTACGACTCTTGGAGATTAACTGCTATTAAATGTGATCAATGAAACAAATGAAGATAACGAACAGTATCTTATCTAGATCAAAAGTCCATAACACAATAAAAAATAGGAGTAGAGCAAACACGGACCTCCAAAACATCAGAGGTGGAAGCAAGTACCATGGAGGAGTGAGCATCCCCTTCCAACCGGTCACACCCGCCGTGTGCTCCTTATCATGATCGGGAAATAACGGAAAAACCTGTCGTCAATTCAGTGTATAAATAATAGACTACCCATTAGTATGAAAAACCACAGGCACCTGACGTTACTTATTTTTCTTTTCATAAAAAAATATTCACATACGTTTATTATTAGGTATGTGAATATTTTTTTGTATAACTCCTCATAAAAAAATATTTCGTAAACTTTGCAGGTATTTAGCACAATGTGTGAAAAAAAATTCTGTCCTTTATTTTTCAGCATTTAACTCAATGAGAAATTGTATTTGCTGACAAGGTCATTGTATCGACCATAGAACTTACGAAATGATGACTTTAAACGAGATTGCTGAAATGCTTGTTACATCAACTTGTTTGTCAATAATTTACCTCGATCTAGAAATTGCTCATACGAAGAGTGTGCTCTTGCGTATCTAATCAACTGAGATCTGTAAGCTCCGCATTGGCGCCGGAAGCAAATTGAAAGTGGGGGGGCTAAGTGTATAAAATTTTTTTATACCTTCCAAAAAAACTTGACAAGCAAAAAAAAAAAAAAAAGGAAATTTCCTGTCTGAAAAAAGTCCAAAGACGAAAATCCTATTTGCTGACAAGGGGGGGGGGGGGGGGGGGGGACTTAAACCGAGATTGCTGAAATTCTTGTTACATCACAGGGGCTGAAATTTTTTTTCCCAAACTCCACTACTTTTTGCATTTTTTGCCTGCCCTACTTTACCCATTTCTAAATTTATATAAAAAATACTACGTGAATTTGTGGAAAGTTTTGATACTAAACCTACTAAGCAATGTTCAATGTCTATACCCTAAAATCTATATTTGGAAATGAGATTTGTCATCCCCTGCATCAACTTGCTTGTCAATAATTTACCTCGTTCTAGAATTGTTCATACGAAGAGCATGCTCTTGCGTACCTAATCAACTGAAATCTGTAAGCTCCGTATGCAGGTGATGAAGGTATATTGCTACTTAAGGTGGAGGGGATGCAACGAATCTGTAAGACAGTCAGATAAACATCACAAAGACACCAGAAGCTTCGTTACTTTAATAGCAAGTCTTCCGAGAGATAGGCTGTATAGTGTTATTTTGACATTTCTTTCGGGTTAATTTTTCCTGGGTATTGAAAACTACTCCTGAATGACGTCATAGCCTCTCGTGTCCCAGTGACTGGGATTTCTTTTTGAGATGATTTAACTCAACTAACTGATTTAACTCCGGCGCCTACCCTATCCTTGGCTTTTGATCTTCCAAGTCTCTGATAATAATGATAATGGATATTTAGGATAAATTCTGATAATGAGTGAATACATCCATCTGCAAGTCCAACCACTGAATAGAAGACGAGGTAGCATGAAGGCCTTGGTTCTTTTGGAGTTGGGAATAAAAGGGAGAGTGTATACGGACAAATCAAGAAAAGGCCGAATCGTCACCATATGCACACACCAAAGACTCCGGTAAGTGTGAATGTATTACATTCAAATGTCCAGATTACAGTAGTTAATGACTCAAAAGAATATATACCAATTTAGGCATAAACATATAACATATATAATTACATATAAACATAATATTAAAGTAATAGACAGAATACAACATGTGGTGAAGAGCAATTCTTCTATTAAGTATATATATATACTGATATATATGTTGGTGGCAATTTATACCAATTCATTTAAAAAAAGATGATACACCGAAAGGTTACTGATCATTAATTAACTTTGTATTCTATTATAAGAGAAAAGCATGTAATGAGAAAATTCAATTTTCAAATTCCTGAATTGTACATTTAAATTTTAGAGGCATTTGAAAGCGTATAAATTTATATTATTATTTATTTATTTTTTAAGGACGTACAAATCCACGTAAGTGCCCCCGAAACCTGGCCAGTAGTGTTAGCGATTGCTGGAAGCTTTCTTATTCTGTCAACCATAGTGACGTGCTGCTTATGGCGTTACGTCAAAAAACTAAAACGGAAAATCAACCCTAGAGAATCTCAAACCAACGACAACTGTGATAAAACCATTGAAACAAATAATACACACTCTAAATCAAATATGAAGAGAAACGCTATTCATCCAATAGACGTGTATGAGAACGTTCATGAACTGAAACCCCAACTACATCCCTTGGACGTGTTCACTAGGAAAGGTAAACCGTTACCTCTAGCCAGGGTATCGCCGACGTTCCTTCCAGAAAGCAGGGAAACCATAAAGAGTATCAAAAGCCACAACGATATTTTCAACATTTACAAGTCGTCTGTGAATGATCCGCATCTACACAGGACAGGACGACGTGTCAGTAATGCTGTGTAGGTAGTCCGGTCTCAATTCTCGGATACATAGACGACGGACTTATATCAAGATCCCGAGCTGACGAAGAGCACAGTCTGCTTTGATTAATTAAAAATGCATAATAAAATTCTTTACCAAGTCATGTGAGATTTTATTTTTGAAAAGAAGCATTACTGTGAGATCAAACCCCCTCATAACCCCCCAAACTCTGCAGATCTAACAGGAGGCGGGCATCCGCCCCTCCAGTATTTTCATACTGATTCATACAGTAAAGTGAGGAAAAGATGTTATTGGATCTTGCCCACTGGAAACACGAACCCCTAGTAAAAAAAAATTTTCAAAAAATGCCTTATGGAACTGTTTACTAGTATTGTTCCTGCAAGGTTATCCTTTACACCCCCCCCCCCCCGGAAAAAATCCTCCAATTTGTACATTGCTGGAAGTGTTATTAGGTAGATTTTACAGCATAGTAAAAAGTTTTGAAAGGCCATTTTTTTTGAAAGGCCATTTTTTGTTATGATAAAAAGTACCAACACTTAAAATTATTATAAATCTAAAGCAACAAAATTATACATGATTAAATACGGGTTTAATATATAGCAGCAAAAGTAACGTCATATGACGGATACACACCGTCATACAGTTCAAAAAAATATTTGTGATTCGCAAACAATTAACCAATTCCACATGAATTCTTGGTACTATTATACCCCTTTTCATAAATGCTTTTTTTAACAGATAGACTTTTTTTTAATTACAAAAACAATACATTTCTTATGATTTACAATATTTTATTAATTAACTTTTTAATTAATGTTTGGAATAACATTATATAAAGTTGAATATATTTATTAAAACTAATTTCAGAGAATTTTGAATTTTTTGGCCTGTGATTTACATGTTCATTACTGGTAAAAACAATCATCTAACAGTCAATATCATTAAGAAAAAATACAATTTAAAACGTGGCGTTCCGATGTGACGCGGCGACACCCCACTATGCTCTATGTTTTTAACATCTATAAAATTATTTCAAATAAACATTGTTAAATTAAAATTTCAATGTTAGGACTTGAAATATTACTAATACAGTAAAACTTGTCTAATCCAGACACTCCAGACACAGCTTTGTTAACATTGTATTAGGCATGATTTTGAAATACACAATGTCCATATTAAACATGTTTCACTGTAGTTTTTCTCAAACTGGTACAAAGTCAGATTAATTTTAAAAGATCACAAATATCTAAGTGTAGTATTTATTTCTAAAAATATTACAATAAATGACAATATTGATTCTTGGTACCTTATATAAGAACTATAAATATGAAAATTATGTGTGTTCATTTTTACCAACTGTGAAATTAAATATGGTTAGAAAAATATTCCAACACCTTTACACTAGTAATGATATAAATACCAGGTATTTATATATAGTTGACATATAAAATCAGTGCCATTTCTTTTTTGTAGGTATTCTACCCAGTCATAAACTTTACAAATAAAATCATTTTAAAAAGTTGTTAACAGTGTGCCTAATAATCCTTTTCATCAACACATTTTGAATTTCTCACAAACATTGCTAAACAAATAAAAATATCAAATAAACCTGTGTGACATCTCTTTGACATGAATAAATAATAAAATTATGAAAGCTAAAATAACAGTTTTATATTTTTCAGAAATAGAGTACAATGCATAAAAGTTATTCTAGTGTAACAACCAAATTCCATAGCAGAATATATAATTAATTAGCATAGCATATTTCACATCAAACAAAGCTGTGATAAAAATGACTCGGATATTTCTTATCAACTTTATTACTGAGAATCCTAATAAATGAACAGAATAACCAGCATTTAAAATTCTTTTATACTCGGGGTGGTGGGGGTTGGGGTGCTTGCTGTGTGAATGTGTTACAAATTGCTGATGCCCTATGTTCAATACAAAAGACAATTATAATACTACAGGTCCTCATCTAGATCTGTGTCTAGGGCTGAATTTGACTGAAACAGAGTCCCTTTTCTCTCTGGAGATGGAATGTCCTCTAGCGCGGTGTACACGGGGGTTTTGTCTTGGAGTTGATCTGGTAAACCACTCAGGCTACGGCGAGTGGACCTACGGACTGGAGTGACAACTTTACAGGGCAAAGGTGAGAAGTCATCGAAACCACCTGACGGTCTTTTTCTGGAAATGATAAATAAACAATGATTAAGCACTCTTTTTTTTTTTTTTAAATTCAAACTGTTTTGCAGTTCAAAGAAATAGTTCTACTTTATGCCAAAACTTAAAAGTGTCTTATCTGTAAAATATTTGACATTCTACATGTCTAAGGTAAGACATGTAAAGAAAGATAATTGAAGTCAATTTAAAGACAGTGCAAAGAACATGACTTATCATTGCAATGTAATGAATCTTCTCTAATTTTATAGAAAATGCATTTGGAGCATTAAACCGCATTTGGAGCATTAAACCAGAAGTCTCTGTCAAGACTGCAGCTCTACTGGTTTTTACTTACAGCAAAAAAAAAAGTACTGCATTAAGCTTTTATTTACAACAGCAATAAATAGAAAGTTTCTTAAGTCTCTTTATGTTCTTAGTGTAGTCTACTTGCATGCCAGATTACATGACTTATCATTGCGATGTTCTTTAATTTTATACGATTAATTTTCACGATCAAGCCTTTGCATCTGTTTTTAATAGACAAATATACTAAAAAATATTCGTGATAAACACACGAATTAAAATTTCTCCAAACATAAAAATAGGTTTACAATACAGACTAAAAAAAAAAAATTTTGATAATATTTTACAGAAATTTCTTTCAATATATAATAATGTTCATAATGACTTGTGTATTGTAGAGTGTCTACTTGTGTGCCAAGTTATACTGAAATCAGACCAAAACTGTAGAAGTAACATTTTGAAACAATTTCACAGAAATTTCTATTTTAGTAACCATAGCAACACCGTTCATCGAAATCAAAAACCGACACAGAGAATTGTGTACCTACTTGTGTGCCAAGTTATATTGAAATCAGAGTAGTTTCACAGAAATTTCTATTTTTAGTAACCATAGCAACACCGTTCATCGAAATCAAAAACCGACACAGAGAATTGTGTATCTTAGTGTAGTCTACTTGTATGCCAAGTTATATTGAAACATAGGAGATGTTATTGATGTTGTTTAAGCTACTGATCAGTAGAAATTTCACAGCCCTAAAATAAATACTTAAACTTTATAAAAAAGCTATTTCAGTGTATATTGAATTATAATGTTCTAATTGCAGTTTTTGCTCTATTCAAAATAACACTATTACAGCTTCAAATATATACACAGTCCACCATTACAGAGGTCCATTGATTTTCCACATTATGATAATGTGAAATTTCTAAAATATTTTTTCGGGTTTTACAGGCCCAAACAACTCAAAAATACATCCACCACATTTAATAGCAATGTAAAAAATCAATTAGGTATATTGCACAACTAAAAGGTGAGATAATGTACTTATCATTTTTCATTCTAGAAGTTTTAAATTACAAGTTTACTTAGCATTTTACCTGTACTTATGTGGAGTAAGTTGTCTGACACAATATTTAATCGTGCTGGATTCAAACACATTTCCATCTTCCACTGCCTTGTCGAGTGCACTCTTTAAACGAGCCTTCCTTTCACGCTCGAGACTGATTTCTGTTATAATCTCAGTCAAAGACCTGGCCAAGTCTTCTGCTGGCTGAAAAAAAAAATTAAAGTTTTCCATCAATATGAACTGAACTCCAATACCTTGGAAAAAGGTATTACAGTAATGTGTATTATTTCTTAAATGATACCCCACCACCACCAAAAAAAAAATACCCAGCAAAATAACTCTCAATACAATGATTCATTACAGCTACAATGTAGCCATTCCAAGTTTTATTATTCACTACAATGACTTTGTTTTTAAAATAAATCAAGATAATGTTCTTGATGATTCATACTTGGGCACTGTTTTTAACTGCCTTTTCAAACACTTGGAGGACCTCTTCCAGGTTGTTGGTGCTCTTGAGGATCTTGGCTTTACAGATGTAGAACCTGGCAGATGACGAGGCCATGGTGATGTTGTCCTCGATGGAATCCAGCCACTTCATTGTGTCCTCAAGAGGACAGCCCTGAAAAATAGTCCTCAAAGTTAAGAAATTGTGAATTAATTCCGTTAAGAATCTTTATTGCAAAATCTTCTTATAGACTATCTATTATTACATCAGCTATTTGTAATACATTGGTTCTTTAAAAATCTTGAGCCATGAACTTGAATTGTATGTTAAGGAAGATGAAATGAAATAGAATGTACCAAAGAAGAATTTAAAATTATTTTTTGCTTTCCCTAAGTACTGTACACCTTTAAGGATGGTACACAAGCAAATGGACTACATGATATATGGAAACAGCATGGAAAGGAATTTCACATATTTTATGCAGGGATTTCCAGTTGCAAATATATTTTGCTAAAATCCACATATTTTATAAAAACCTGAACATTACATGAGACTCACATAGATTTTACTTATTGTGAATGTCAAAAAAATTAATAGACAGCTCATTATTGGCCAAAAACATAAATTAATCCTGAGTCAAATGTCAAAATGAAATACACATACCAGGTGGTAAACTTATAGAACACTAAATGCTTAATTTACAATGGGATATCTTTTGAGTTACAAATGGAGGACCAGTAGTAATATATTTTACTGTGTACACACAGCCTCATAAAAATGGTACACTTACTGAGAACATGGAGATTTAACTTTTTGCAACTGTTAATTAAAATAATACTAGTGTCCTCACTGGTAATGGAGTCCTCAGCATTGAAGTGGTCCTCCAGATTCAGTACCACTGATGATCTGGGCTTAATTTCCTCCTATAAGAAAAACCTAAACACTTAATATGAATGCAAGTGTATTTTGATCCAAAGAAAATTTCATCTAACCTCTAACACTTGTCCTCTCATATTTTTAAATCAAACTTAACATTTTTGCAGTGTCAAATTTTTATGGTATGAACTATGAGGAAACAAAACGTTTGTGAAGACTTGACTTCGTGGTTAAAATGGCGTTGCCTTGTTATATGTTTACTATTCAGCATAACATGGAGGACTTGATTTTAAGGGTTTCTTCATACCATAAAAAAATTACCTCCCCCCATGAAAATGTGTGATTTCAAAGATGCTTATTCATCAGTACATCCACTTTTAACAGATATATAAAATGCGGGAAAAAACTGCCTTCCTAGGCCATCCTTAAAAAATTGTTTTTTTGCGGTAACGCTACCGACTCACCAAAATCCACCCTACTGGATTATTTTTATCGGTTCAAAATTTTTTTTTTTTTTTTTACGTATCCATTTTTATCCGATTGATATTTTTTTTACGTCTCCATTGCACCTACGCTGTTTTTAAAAAAGAACTGATGTGTTCTGATATATGAGCAATAAAAGATTGAATTCATTTAGAATGCTTTAATTTTTCTTGTTTGATTAGTAAGATCTAAGACATAGTTAATACCTCTATGTAATCTAAATTTATTTCTGACTTTTTGTCTCAACAAAAAAAAAAATAAGCATACCTACCTACCCACACCTAAAATGACGAGGCGCGTTACCGCAAAAAACAAAATTTTTAAGGATGGCCCTACTTCAAATAACAATGTTTCCCTACCTTGTGTGTCTTTTCCTCAGTATAGCACTGTTCTGAAGACTTCTTCTTGGCTGAGAGTGAGGCATCAAAACACCGTAGATGTCGGAACCCACTGGGGGTCTTCCCTTTTTTCTTCAGCCATTCCTCCAGCTCTGTTCTATAAGAAAAGTTACATATACTATTAAAATAAGAAATCTCTGTTAAGACAGAAGCTCTAATGGTAAAGGAATAAAATGACCCGGATTTATAAGAATTCTCAAAGAAATTCCCTCTTTTAATTCGGAAAAGAAGCAAAAAATTAATATCCTACACTGTTCATCATAATAAACCTTACAGTGTACTGTGAGCAGTGTCTTGCAAAATGATACACCCATTATATGTTAATCTCGATTCAATAAAGGTGAAGAAGAAAAAAGCTAATACAAATATCAGTTTCTACTGTGAACAGACATACATAAAACTTTACCTCATAGATCTATGCTGATGGCGTACTGGTGTTTTCTTGAGTGTCTGGGTGTCTGGTTTTCGTTTGACAGGGGAGACAAACCTAACATTGTGACCCGGTGTTTTTGGCGTCTGTGAATCTGGTACTAACGCTTCATCAGACAAGCTAGGCAGGCAAGATTTCCTCTTCAGAATGCTCCGTGTGACTTTTGTATTCCTTGATTCCAGGTCCGAATGTCTCCTTTTTAATTCCTTTGTTTCTGAATCACCGACCTTGAACTGAAAATGGCTGGATTTGTATTTCTTTGGTGAGGACATGGCAAAATTTTTCTTAGCACCAGAAGTTTTTGTTAAGTTTGTTGGCTTAGTTTGGGATGTGGACTTCGTGACTCTTGTCATTTCGGAGGAAACTGTCTTTATGGACACAGATTTCATGGTTGATGTCAGAACTTTCTTCACAGTTTCTTTCTCCGTCTTTCGGTTGACCTCCCTCTGAACAGTCTTTTGAGAACTTGCAGTCATGAACTTTGATTTCACATGAGTATACTTCTGAGCAGATTTGAAAGGGGTCTGTGTCTTCTTTCTAAAAGCATTACCATCATTCAAAATTAATACATTTGCAGCTATGATTGTTAGCAAAGAAAGATAACTCTAAATTGATATATCACATTTTTCTTTATACTTGTACTTTATCAAGCAAAACAAGTTTTCCCACATTTCCCCATGATCAAATTTAATATGGAACTTTAGTACATCAAAATTGCTTGTGTATCATTGAATTTCAATCTCCTGTTGGAAAAGTTCCATCTTAAAATTACATTTCACATTTGAGACCTCTCTCTATTACTCCTCTCTTAGACTCTATACATAACTAATGAATGATTCCTTACACTTTTCTATACATACCCCCAATATCACACATCTATACACAAGCATACCTCACATATCTCTATACATGTTATACTTCAATACATACCTCACATTTCTCTATATATATGTCACACCTCAATACATACCTCACACTTCTCTACACATCTACACATACCTCACACTTCTCTACACATACCTCACACTTCTCTACATATACCTCACATTTCTCTATACATATGTCACACCTCAATACATACCTCACACTTCTCGGGATAGCCCGGTTCTCCTTCTCATTTTCTTTCTTCTTTTTCCATCGCTCTAATTTAATGCTGAAACAAAGAAATACTAAATTCATCCCTCCACAGAGTGTCTTTACTATACCGTATTCTGCTGAAGTAAATACAAACACAACTTAGAAATGTAGTCTTGGAGGACAATTGAGGGATTAAATAATCTTTCTGAAACAAAATAACTCTAGAATTAGAGAGAATATTTCAAATGCAGAAAAATTTCCTATACTAACACTGTCTTTAAATTGGGGGTTGGTGGGGGTGTAATAGATACCTCATTGGTGTTCCATTAGTCTGTTTCTGAGGTAAGATAGATATTCGTTTCTGGACCTTGGACTGTTGTGCGGGAGCTGTGGGCTCCTTTGGTACATTGGACTCAGATCTGTGGCTAAGATATCGCGATGCCACAACCTTCTTTCCTGCTTTCTTCTTTCTGCAAAACATTATGAAGAATACTGAGCATATATCATTGATCATTGCCCATGAAGTGATGGACTTGTTTGAACTTAAACTTTACATTTTTTAGAAACCTTTCATTTAATTTAATTTTGAGATTTTTAGATATTCAAACCTTCACAATTGATTAATTGTCATAGAAGCATTTGTCAGACATGGTAAGTTGAATAGAATTAAATTTTCTATAAAGACAGAATGAAATGGATGAAAGACAAACTTTCAGTGTGAAATCCTCAAAGCATTCCAAGGCTGGGAAATATGGACGGTGGGTAATTTTCAAGCTGAACAAGACACTTACTCAATATCATCTTGGGCTGTCAACTTTGTTGACAGAGGATGTCTCTTTTGTTCCTGAAATTTCTTCCATTTTTCAAGAAATTCTGTTGCTGTATATATAAATAATTATAAAATACACATTGTCAAATCATTATAAATTGAATTCACTGGTAATAAATATTAAAATACAATTTAAATATCCCCCCTCCTGAAATAGGATTTTCGAGTTTGGACAATGAACACAATTTCATTTTTTCCTCTTTTTAACATGTTTACATTTTTATCCCTTCACTTTCAATTTGCTTCCGACGCCAATGCATATTTACAAACCAAGACCCAAATAGGCAAGTGTCTGTAATATAAACACCAATCACATACAAAGCTAAAAGTCCAGCTGACATTAGACTTGCTAGAGTCTCTATGTTTTTATTGTTTATTTTTTCATAATTTTTATCTTAAATTGTTCTTATTTGCTTCCACTGCTCTCTGTCATAGTTCAATGTTACAAAGGCGTTGGAACCTGGCAAGGATTGCTTCCTCTGCTCTCTGTCATAACTTTCAATGTTTACAAAGGTGTCGGAACCTGGCAAAGATTATAAGCAATGAAAATTGCCATTTGGGGATCATTATCTTTTTTTTGTATGTTTAGCCCCCCCCTTTTCAATTTGCTTCTGACGCCTCAGATCTATGTTTGTATGAAAGAGAGCACTACAACATACAGACTTGAGCAAATCTAAGCAGACATTTGTCATGTTTGTTTACAAATAACACCACTTATCATTACTTTAGCGACTTGTCACAGCTTCTGTCTTAATAGAACAGTGTCTTTACTAAACACTGTTGTACAAATTCAATACACGTGAAAACTGACACTTACATGTAACATTCGTTGAATTGTTGTAAATGTAATGTTCTCTTTTCATTTTTCAGTCCAGTCCAATACGAAAAATCGTAATGTTACGAAATATAGTAATATTACAAGAAATCGTAATATTACAAAATATTGTAATATTATTCTTATATTACTATTTTTCATAATATAGTTAAATTACGGAAACTCGTAATAAAGCAAGTTGAGAGAGACTATATTACGAGTTTTCGTAATGCAAGACAAAATAAAGCATTGAAAGAAACTGAATGATGTTTATGGAAGTATGATGTCAGAAATACATTATGCCCCAATGGTACTAGTATCACGTGGTCATTTTGGTCAGTGACGTCTATCGAAAAGTATGGAAATGCAAGAAGAAAGTAACAATGGTAATGGGTGAGTGAACATTTTGTTTTATTATTCTTTTATAAGAATTTTCCCAAGGAGAGAAACAATTTTCCATAAAATTTCAATGTATCCTCAAGCTTGTCACAATGGTCTATAATCCCCGAATTCCCTATATTTTTCCCGAAGTCTACCCTGAAAATCAGACCCTCATCTCAAACAACGAGATGTTACGAGAGATAACTTGTAAGACTCTCACTAGGCTCTGAATCCGCTTGCACTTGGATCAAATGCACCAAATCAAAGAAAATGCACTAACCATACATATCCACGATATCATAATGATGAAACCAGAGACCAATAATCTCTGATGAAACATAACAAAGAGGTTGTATCAGAAAAAAGGGAAGTAACTCTTAGAAGAGTTAGAAATTGCTTATATTACGAATTTTAGTAATATTACGATTTTTCGTATTGGACTGGACTGTTTTTGTGAACTCCTAGTCTTGACACACTATGTAAGCCTCATTTCATCAATATTGTGCGTTGCACACGTTTGAAAACTCTATTTAATCAATGGTACATTCAATGGTGAATTATTTGTTACCTTTCTTTACTTTGGCCGAATTAAGTTTTTCCATTATGAGCATTCAAGTAACATCAGATTTTGGTTGTTTGAATCATCACTGTTTGTATTTTGGCGCAAAGAAGGCGATTGGTCGATATAAATATTTTAAATCCCGATCCCGATATCTTTAAGATTGTCTGACAATTGCAATCTTTGGCAACGTAGGTCTAGATGATATTTGCCCCACACTGCCATACAGTTAGACTCAAAAATGTCTATAGTCTACAACCAATAAAACTTAGATTTTTAAAAATATTTATTTTTTTAAATGTAGGATAAGTAAATAATAAAATATGTTAAAATTATATTTTACTGCACAATATTAGATTAGTTTTTACAACTGTTTTACTTCACTTGATTCTTTTGAATTTTAATGCTATATATGTCTTATCATGGTACCATCTTTTCGGTGCTCCTTATACATAGGAGGAAATTCCTAGAATGAACTGAACTTTGGCAATGATCTATTTCTTACATCGCATATGGAGAAATGACGTGCAGTTTATTCATGAGGTTGCTCACACGTGATTTACCTCTCATTAATATTCATAAGATCCTGCAAAAACTCAAATTATACCATTTCTTTAATTTTTTAATATTAAAAGATGCAAGACTATTTTATTTAAATTTCTTAAAGCCCCCGACATAGTTAAATGGGTAGAATTTAGCATTATCGTCAGTTGGCAATTAATGATACCGATTGTTTTAATAATAAGTAGGTCAGACGGATGCAAAAATTGCTGTTTTTAAATTTAAAAGGCGGTCGTAACTCTTTAAATGCCGGTAATTTCGGACGGACGGGAAATTCGGACGAAATTTTTCTATAACTTGAATTTATAAATAAATCCTAGAGTTTTGTGTGTTGTTTCATTTATTTTGTACCTTTGTTTACGAAGAATACAGAGACATCCCGAATATGAACACATTCGAGTACATGAATTAATTATTTTCCGCATCGGACACCGTATCGGCCTTTTCCGTCAAAATCTTCATGCCCGGGAAAATTTAACTTCTCCATAGAGTCAAAGAAAAAATTGATTTTCGGTAAGTAAAATTTATATACCGAATTAAGCAATGTTTTATAATAAAATTAATAGGGTATAAAATGTGTTTTTATACAGACAAACAATGAATTCAAAGAGAATAATAAATAAAATTCACTTTTTTAAGTGTCCGAATTTATCGGACAAGGTTTTCCTATGGGAATATAATTACGGACACCCATAAGGGTATCAAACACTATTATCCTAGGACAAATTTGTGAATTTTTAATTATTATTTTACTTCGAAATTTTATAGAATTAAATTTATAAGTGGGAAAAAAAGACCCATTACAGGCACGTAGCATCGTTTTTGAAAGGGGGGGGGGGGGCAACCAGAAATTTTTTTTTTAACTTACCTGAAAAACTTGACAAAAACAAAAAAAAAAAGAAAGTTAAAACTTGCCCAAACTTGAAAATCCTATTTCGTAGGGGGGGGGGGGGGGGGGGAGAGAGATAGTGGCCTACTTATTCAAAGCCAAGTTACTTTCACTTCCAATTTTTTTCCCTACATTTCCTTGATATTACTTTACCATGGTATAAAGTGGGGGGGGGGGAGGGGGCAACCATCCTAATAATGGACATTTTCTATAGTAAAGGTAGTGTTGGGGAGAAAAGTGGGGGGGCTGCCCCCCCCCCCCCCCTGTTGCTACGTCTCTGCATTAACATTTGAAAAGAATCTAAGTAAATTAAATATATAATTTTTTTTCTATAATTTTTTTTGTGGGCATGTTTGAATTTATTCTTTTTTTTTACCCAGTGCACGGAATATGGGCAAAAAGAACAAGTCTGCATCGCGGAGGCAGAAATATGCAAAGCATGACTATGAAAAAATGAAAATGGCGTACAATGCGGTAAAAAGTGGGAAACTATCTCTGAAAAAGGCGGCTGAAAAATTTGGGGTAAAAAAATCAACGCTGTACGACCGTGTATCTGGTAAAATTGATGTATATGCCTCCAGTGGAAGAAAACCCGCCTTGAACCCAGAAATTGAAAAAAGAATTGTAGATAATGTTACACAGACTGCATGCCGAAAAGGGCTTTGGGATTTCTCGGCAACAACTTTTATCAAGAACCGGCATTCTCTGCAATAGACTGAAGCTGAATTGTTTCGTAAACAAGCAACCTACAAAACATTGGTGGTATGGGTTCAAAAGTCGACACCCAGAAATTAGTCTGAGAAAACCTGAAAAGTTGGGTACGGTCAGGGCTAGAATGTTAAATGGGGTAGTGGTTCAGCGGTATTTCAATGATTTGGGGAAAATAATCGAAAATTTGAATCTACAAAATGCACCAAAGAAAATTTGGAATGCCGACGAAACCGGCAAACAATTAGAACACTCACCTGTTAATGTTGTTGCACGGAAGGGCACAAAAAACGTTGTTGGTCGAACAAGTACTGACCGTAGCAACATCACGATTATGGCATGTGTAAATGCTTCAGGCGAAAAGATGCCGCCCATGCTAGTGGTAAAAGGGAAAACAAAGAAGTCCCTGTACGGATACAACACGACGGAAGCCCCTGAAAACAGCATGTGGACTTTCAATGATCGTGCTTGGATGGATGAGGAGTTGGGGGAGCAATATAATGGTTTAAAAATGTGTTTCTTCCCAACTGCGGAAACGAACGTCCCCAACTCCTCATCCTTGATGGGCATGGGTCTCATGAGACTCTAGGCCTATTAGAGCTTGCCGAACAGGAAGGCATCCATGTCCTCGCTCTGCCCCCACATACAACGCATTTTCTTCAGCCCTTAGATAGGTCGGTGTTTGGCCCTTTCAACAAAGCATACAACAAGTTCTGTTCTGATTTCCTCTCCCAGAATGCTGCCCATGTTATCAACAAGTGGACCTTCCCTTCCCTATTCAAAAAGGCATGGGAAGAAGGGATTACAACCGACAATATTGTTAGTGGTTTCCGGGCATGTGGAATCTATCCCTTTGACCCACAAGCTATTCCAGAGAGCGCGTATCTACCAAGTTCAGCCTATGACATCCCGCAAAATTCTGCTCCAACTACCCCCGATCTTTTCCAGTCAATAAATAAAGCTACTGTCACTGCTGAGGTACACAATGTCCCTACATACTTAACTTCCCCTGATCTTTCTCAGTCTACAAACAAAAACACGGCTACTGTCACTTCTGAAGTACACAATGTCCCTACATCCTTAACTTCCCTTGATCTTTCTCAGTCTACAAACAAAAACACGGCTGCTGTCACTGTTGAGGTACACAATGTCCCTACATACTTGACTTCCCCTGATCTTTCTCAGTCTACAAACAAAAATACGGCTGCTGTCACTGCTGAGGTACACAATGTCCCTACATACTTGAATTCCCCTGATCTTTCTCAGTCTGCTAACAAAAATACGGTTGCTGTCACTGCTGAAGTACACAATGTTTCTAGATACCCAACTACTCCCGATCTCAGTGACAGTATTGTCCCAATTCCCGATGTGGTCGCGGAATCCCAGGTACTGGAAAGCATTGATAATCTTCATGTTTTACCGTCTGATATCCTGGAAAATCCCGTCCCAGCAGCCGCTGTTTTACCCACAGAAGCAGGTGAACTCGAGTCAAAAGACGCAAATAGTCAATCAGAAATCGAAAATCCAGAACATTTGCTTACTCTGATTAACATGGGACTAATTGATATTGTCCAAAATCCAGAGGTGTCGGAGGAGGTAGAACTGAATACTTCATTTTGGAATACGGAAATCGACAACATTTTTAATATATTCGATCAATGCATACTATTTATGCAAGATATATTACTGTATTCAGCGGCGGCTCACACAAATTGGTCCGACCAAAATAGTTCCATCATGATAAGTAGATACAACATTATTGTTCATGATAAGAGTAAAGTTGTGTATGGTATACGTGAAAGAAATCAAAAATAACGTCAAAATATTATTAGAAAGTCACTTTCCCCCCGAAATGCAAATAAAAAATATCAATATTCCTACGCTCGCTCCCTCCTCAGCCTTTTTTTTTTTTTTACATGTTTGATAACAGAGAATATTTAGGTCATTCTTCGATTCATATCTTTTCACCGATGAATTGATAATACTATATCAACAATTGTATTAAGTACATGTTTATAGTCCGTTAATTATCATACAATTTCTTCTTAAAGAAAAAATTAATCATTCTGTGTGTGTGTATTATCAAATGACGGAATTTTCAATCCCTGGCCGGATTCTGCTCGTGTGTACACTTTGTAAACTGTAGGGTATGTGTAGCAAAACGAGAAATGGGTCGGAGATTCGGGTTCGTGTTGAAGTTCAGCATACCATTTTATACAGAACTTGAATAATGTAAGTAATTTCTGCGACGAATACATTAGTATATTTCAGTAATTTTCAAAACAAAAAAGGTTTTCAGTTTAGAATTTTCCGACCCGGTCCTGATTTTCCTAAGCCGGCCATTTTAAACACAAGTTGTTGCAGATGCAAATGTTAGAACAAACTATAAATAGTTCAACAGGGATTGTATAATTTTTATTAATCATAATTCGTATCCATATGATCTAATTAAGAAAAGAAAAGTTTTGTCTGCCATCGTAACTTCTCGGCAAAACAAAACGTGTTTCTCCGAGCTCGCTGGATGCGTTTGACAGCTCCATCGCACGTGTGTAGACCAAGGCTAATGTTGGTCTTGCGGACACAGGTACATGTAGGCCTATGTGTACTGTTTGTTAGGGGACTGGGTGACCGTAATGCTATGGACTCACGAAATTTACAGCAGTTCCATAATTAGACAGTGCAGTTTTTTTTATTAACGTCATTTTAAACACTGTTAAACATATTAAATCCAAAAGTCGAATATCTTTGGATATGGGGTAACCCATATCTATTCTTGTTACTCCTGTTGCTGCTGTTCAATCGTCGGAAAAAAAGCCTAAAAGTCGGGCGATAACTTCACACCGGCTTCTGACAAGCTCGGCTATTATACAAGAAAAAAGAGAGAAGTTAGAGAAAAAACAAAAATTAGAGGAACAGAAGCAAGAGAGAAAGAGGAAAAGAGAGGAGAAACGGAT